CTTCCTCTGGTCAGATGGATCTGCTAATAACAGACATGCTTCCCTTCCTGCCATGAAGGAAGCTGTGACTCATCATTTTTATCTCTTCGTTTAGAACAAAAATACCTCAAAATGTTTTACTCCACATTTCCTATTTGTAGAAAACATTTCTTTTTATTCATATTGTGAAGAAAATTTTCCAGATTTGTTGTGATTTTCTATTTTCCGTTTGAACAGAACTTGTAGGAAATGTTTCCCTCCATTGCAGAAACAATAGAGTTCCTTAAACCTTTTCAAACCTCCAGTTTTTGGCCTTTTCTGCGGCTCTCCTGGGCTCAGGAAGCCTGACCTCTCAGAGCAAAAACAATAACTTTAAAAGTCATCAGCTTGGAGCTAATCCCACGACGGTTTAATACCAGAGTGATTAGCCATGATCCTAAACCTCCCAGCCAGCCTGGCTGCTCTCCCAGCCCTGCTTCAGCTCTCCGTCCCTGGGGGAGGCGGTCAGGCGAGGCCCCGGATTAAGGCCAGTCGCTGCTTTGGACCTCAGAGCCTGGAAAGTTAAACCCCTGGATGTTGGCCACTTCATTTCTCTAAGTGGCATCAGTTCCCTCGTTATGACCGTTAATCAATGCTGGATTTATTCAACAGGCCGTTTTTCTGCCAAAAGCCCAAAAACAGAGAAGATTTTCATCTTTCTTTGGATCAGGAAATTATTTTTATTCATTCATAGCTTGTTGTTGTTTTTTTATTAGTGTGAGAGAGCAGGAAGCTGCGTCTTTATGGGGCGGGGGGGTCTGGGAATGTTTTCATGCGTGAGCAGATGTTCCCGTTTCTCAAGAGGGATTTATGTCAGGATGGAAGCGCACAACACGGCAGGATCCGCGCGGCAGTGAACGCGTCGTGTCAATCAACAGCCACGCGGCCTGAACGCCACATGGAGATAGAAACAGACCTGGGAGCGCCGAGCATCATCAGGTCACGGCGTTTATCCTCCACAGCTCAGCTGCTCCGTCCAAAAATCAGCCAGAAATTTAATTTCATTTTTTAAACGAGGAGACGTTTCCTCTGCTGCTCTGGTCAGATTATAAACGCTTAAACACAAACGACTCAAATAACAAAATACTTATTTACTACAGTAGAAATGCTGCATATCTGCACTTTACTGCAGTAATTATTATTTTACTTCTTTTTACTTTCTACTCCTTACATTTAAAAATAATCTCATTATTTTGTTTCATTTAAGCTCATTTCCATTCTGGCCTGTAGATATTAGAAAATAAATAAAAACACCAAAATAATTAGCTTCATCCAGATAATTAATTTCTTTGTGGTTGGACTCGGTGCTGCCCCAACTAGTTGCTCACCACAAACCAAAATAAGATGATGCAAAGTTAAATGTGACGCTATTAGCATTAGTTATAAAACTAAGAAAATAAAGTCTAAGGAAGTTTTCATCCAGAATTGTAGAAAAATATTCCTTTAATAGAGTAGAGCAGTAAAACGTCTGGAATTAACAGTTTATCCTGCATTACTTTTATTTTTATACTTTAAGTCGTTTTAAAAATGATAGTTTTACACTTTTACTGCTGAAGTCTAACTTCTACTGAGATGTTTTTAAAATCTAAGGAACATTTTTGGACGATAACGTAGTGAGCGGCGGCTAACGCTAGCAACAGTAGCATCCAATCTTCGCTGCGCCGACATTTAATCCAAGTTAGGATTTTATTTTGATTCTATTTCTAAGAATACATCTGACTAAACTGTCTGTTTGTTCCACTTACAGATAATTTTTGTAGCACAAATCTATTCTGCAGAGTTAATGGAGCTAAATACAGAAAGTTTTATTAACGGAAAAGTCGTCAGCAGGAATAATCAATGGATCATTATTTATACCTAAAACTAATACATTCACAGTGATTTAATGAATTTCGTGTTAATCAGTAAAAAAATAAAAATA